TAATATCAATGGAAACAATGCTTTAACAAGGTAATCACTTTAATAGAAGCCACCCGTTTATTCAGAGGCTCTCTCGACAAATTGACCCAACCTCGAGCTTTTTTGTGCGCTAATTCGATGACACGAGCGTTGACTTAGTTACATAAAACGGCGTCGCGTAATTCGATGAGATTACGATAGCGATTGCATTTGACTGACTACGATTAAGCGGCCGATCGAATGCAGTAGTGAGGGTTATTGCACTACATCTTTTTACACGCACGCACGCACACACACACACGCACATCATACAGGTGCAAAGGAAAAAGCATAAATCTTCCTAGCGTAAACTATAACTTTATCCGTTTAGTCCATTATCAGCATGTGACTATTTTTCATCTATCAGGTCGTCAAACATTTTAATTTGTTAATCAGTCTTTTTATATGAAGTACATACCTCTTTTGTGAAATCGTAGTATTATTTGTTTATCGATACGTATACAGTATGTCCAGAAATATTCTGTGTTATTAATTCATCTTATATAACTTGAATCGATCTAATAAAATATAAACTCCGAAAATTTCGAGATGAAACGAACGAATAAACCGAGATAATTATTATATTTTTTAATAATGCCTTGCAATAGAGAGTAAATATCGCGAGATGAGAAGATACGTATGTATTTCCGTCATTCGAATTCTCTATTTGATGAACTTTGGTATATTACTAAATTCGTGGTGACGAAGCACGACGAATCTTTATCTTTCTCTTTTTCTCTATTGCCGTCATCAATGTTTCGTGCCACTCATAATTATATTATCGCGGATTTCTTGCATTTTTTTTTCTTTTTTTTTCCTCTCCAGTGCAGCTCGGCGGTGCGCGGTTCTCTCTCTCTCTCTCTCTCTCTCTCTCTCTCTTTCTCTCTTTATTCTCATGTGCAGCGTAGGAATCGTTGATGTTAAAAATAGCGACATGTATTTTTAGGCATCGCGCTCCGGTGAGATATAGTGTTCCCGTAGCATATTCGTAGATGACGGAGATGCAAGATGTCTATAATCTTGCAATATCTACATATAATCCGCATGTAGTGGCCGCATGTTTCTACGACTACGCTTAACACATATATGTACTAAAAATACGCTCGTCTATTCGCGAATGTAGCGTACATTATAGGCAATTTTATTAATTTAAACGTGAATTTTATTATATCTAAAAACCTGCTTTTCGCAACCGATTTTAAACAAATCGCAATAAGGATATTGTGTGAATTTTTCACATGAATCTTTGATAGATATATTGTTTTTGATTCCATTTACTTTTTTTTTATATCACGAATTCGGATAATCGTGCCTTGTCAGTAGAAATTTCTTTTGTAAATGCGCAACGCGCGTGATATAAGTAATAAGTGTGACCATCTTATACACACACAAATATATGGCACAATGATATGTACAATGATGTGATATTCTTTCACGAAAATATCACAAATCCGAGTCAGTGTGTGGAGAATAAATATTTGTTCATCACACACTGACTCGGATTTGTGATATTTTCGTGAAAGAATATCACATCATTGTACATATCATTGTGCCATATATTTGTGTGTGTATAAGATGGTCACACTTATTATTTATATCATGCGCGTTGCGCGTTTATAAAAGAATTATAAAAGAAGATTTCTACTGACAAGGCACGATTATCCGAATTATAAATAAATATATAATATAAAAAAAGAGTAAATGGAATCAAAAACAATATATCTATCCTTTTCTCAAATTTCTTTCCAAGTAGAAAGATTCATGTGAGAAATTCACGCAATATCCCTATCACATGATTATCGTGTACTACAACGATTATTGATTGGTTTAATGAAAATCATTTTCGGATCGAATGATCTTTAGCGTCGACACGAAGTAAAAAGCCAGAATAAAAAGAGGACAACTGAGTAATTGTCATATCGAAAAAAAGGAGAAAAACGTAACAATTCCTATGTGTGTATGTGTCTCTTTGTTATCATATTTTAACTGTGCGCGTCTCGTCTCGATAATAAAAGTAAGTGACGTTTCAATTACGTGATAACATACCTCAACGCGCGTCTAAAAAAGGGAAACACGCGCCGCTATATTTAGGCACTGGTCTATAATGTCTATATCGCGCGGATTATTAATGCTGCTATAGCTCGTAAACGTTTGGATAGACAGCTACTTTCGCGCTTTTCTTTTTCATCGTCGATATGTTGATCGATGACAGTGCGAAAAAGTGATTCTTTTTTTTTTATTTTTCCTTATCCGCATAAAACATCCTCAAATTAGTCAAAATGATGAAACGAAAGATAGTGTTAATGTGCAGCGAGAGATACAAAAAAAAATTGAATTATATCGGAATTATATCTGATTTATAAGGAAAAGAAGATATGAGCTGAAAGATGAAACTTTTAATATTGCAATTAACAGTGTTTGCCGTAACACGATGGTACTCGATTGGTTTCGTTTTTATGATATGTATCCATGATTGATTTAATTAAATCCTTCGCGACTTATCATATAATACGCTTACAGGACAATTATAATAAACGAGAGTTTCATCGAATTAAAAATTTAATGACAAACGCGTGTGATTATAGAAATTTATCGTTCTTTTTAGATAACGCGACCAACTTTTCTACAATCATCGAATGGATTTTAATTAAGAAATACCAACGTTTCTTGTTCACTAAAGGCAGACCAAGCGAATAAATTATTATAAAAATAAAAGTCAAATATTTCATCAATATAAAAGACGTAATTGAAAAAGTAAGAAAGAATCCTCATTTATACAAGAAATATAATATTCTGAAAAATTAAAATTATCAATAAACGACCGCTCGCGATACTTGTAGTGTTAGGAAAAAAATTTGATGAGGAAGATGGAGAAAATTAGCGTTTTTTTTCTTTTTTTAGACAAAAGCCAATATTGTCGAACTCTTGTTTGTATACAAGAGAGAAACGTGCCAGTCCAAGTACGGAAGACAAAGAGAACCATTTATGTTGAGAGCCGCCATAGATTGACGATCAAGCGATTATAGGGTGACGCACACGGCAAGAACAGCTAGAACAGTTAAAACAGCTAGATCCGTCAAATATCTGTGATTTGAGTCGCAAGCGAATGATTGCGCGCGGATGTCAAAGCTGCAATTTGTAACAGCAGCAACGAGGAGACTGGGATCATTAGAATCCCTCGCACTTCGATATCAAATAGAATCATGGGAACTTTAAAACCAGCAAAACGTAATCGGATCACTCTTCTAATTTTTCTATCTCTTTTAAATGCAGGAGCTGCGAAGAGAGTGAGTTGGCCGCGACCTGATGGCCTGACGGCCTGATTTTCTCCATACAATTGTGATACGAGAAATTTTTAGTCCAATCTTAAGTTCCTCCACACAGCCTAGACTATTCACTGCCGTGACTCGGGAGATTCGTTGCAACATTATTGATTCGCGCCCCGGAGTACACTATACGCCTTACATCGTACAAAAGGTACGATGGATTCGTGGCGGCGCGGTTTGATGCATAAGCCGCCGCATACTGATTATACATCGGCCCTACATGTCGAGTAGATATATAGTTCTAGGAATTAAACCGTCACCCACTTTCCGACCACCAAGCCTGCATATGGGGTGTCATCGCATATGCATACGTATGTGCATATACATGCATATATAGCGAGATGGAAGGATCCATCACATAGAATCGTAGAGAATCGGTAGTCAATGCCACAGTTTGGAAGCTAATTGAACTTGATTATCATATGATATTCCAAAGATTGTGATTCCAAGAGAGAGAGAGAGAGAGACAGACTTTTGTTTTTAGAATTAATACGTTACCATTATATCGATAAAATATTTTATTCTAGAAAATTTACAATTTATTTTGAAATGTTAAGGGAAATTGCCCTCGGAATTGTCCAGACTCTGTATATGAAGCTAGATTAACACCTCGTGTATAATATTCTGTATATCGTGCTCGATAACATGTAGCTGGAGCTTAGAGCACAGAAGGGGCTTCGCTAGCTGTTGACATCAAACGTGGCGCGCCGTCCGAGTTCAGTCGATACACGTTATTATCGTGCACGATCCGGCTTTCATCCTTTTCCCCGCTTTGTCGTCGCGAATTAATTCTTCGCGAACGAACGTCGAACATTTAACCTTTAACCGGAAGCGGTTGAAAAATTCGACGCGACATTTTGTCGGTCGTATACGAAGCGCTGTACTGGCTTCTCTCTCTTTCTCTCTCTCTGTTGTAGCGATAGAATTTTTCATTTGACAGAGAATAAAATTAAATGAACGCAGCAGAAATGTATAGTCTTGCCGAGAGACTATCACTATGTACAACGCTCTAATAAAAAAGATATGATGCCGTATGTGTGACAGTTTGCAGCTACTTTATTATGTTGCTATTTTTTTTGTAAGAGGAACGATTCTTTATACATATACAAGATCTTACGTTTTATATTCTAAGGAAATCGCCAGATAAGAGGAGATAGCAAATTATCGATAGTTGAGCAGCGTTTATTGTTAAAAAAAAAAACAACATTAATATTACTTGAACTAGTACTACTCGATCACGTTTATTATTTCCCGTTGACATAATAGATACGCATTTTGACCTGGTCCGAATCGCCGTCAGAAACAACGTTGTAACATTTGTTCACCTCAAGGTCTTGGCGGAGGGTTAACATGAGGACGATAACGAGAAAATGGTTGTAGCAGTAGCAGCTGCCAGTAGGTCACGACCTCCTTCCTCTTTCAATTCTCTGGAGGTCGATAGCCTCATTTCTGGCGGAGCGCGCCAATTCCATGACCTACCTTCTCGCACGAGCCTATGGTAGTCCTATGATACGCGACCGTAGACACGCAGATGCGCTCATCATTTTTTTCACAACTACTATAGAAACTTGGCCTACCTTTTCTCATTTGTAATAGCATTCCTTTTACAATTAGATAAATTGCGCGATATTTGATTCTTTCTAGCAATATAATAGATACATGCTTCTCATTTATACACAGGGACCTTCAAAATAGAGTACGTTATAACATAGTACATATAACTCCTCCGAATAATGGTACATAACATCAATGTTCCTTCGTTTAATTTATACCGAAAAGCTGATTTCGGAGAGTACGTTATATATTTACTTTTCTAAGTAAATTATATTTGCATTAATAAACATGAAATTTGCTCTAGTCTCTTCTCTCTCATATCCCGCAACTTACTGTCAAAATGATGTCAATTTAATAATACATACAAGTTAACCAAAAAAACATTCAATACGATAAGAAAATATATTAATATTTATAATCGAATCGCACGTGAAAAATTTATTGAAAAGTTTGAAAAAGTTTGTAAGTGTTTCCTGCGTTGGTTTAAATATAATATCAGTACACTTTCCTATAATTATACAGTTTCGGAAAGACAGTTAGCTATTACATAAATAAGTATTCTTTCGAAGCAAATTATAGTTTCGCATTACGTCTCATTATAGTGTGTCATTGATATACTTATTGTCACACGACATTATCACCTGTCTGTCTGTCTGTCTGTCTGTCTGTCTCTCTCTCTCTCTCTCTCTCTCTCTCTCTCTCTCTCTCGAACACATTCAAAGGCCAAGTGCTTTTTCATTTATCCACTGCACACTTCTTGATGAAAAAAACCAACCTCTACTTGACTCAGTAGTGTATGTATTATTCTTACACAAAGTTATTTTATATTCTCTTTTAATTTTATTTTCATCACATCGTTATTTAATCTGTATTTTAACAATTCTTTGTCCTCGTTGTTTCTTTTTTCTCATTGAGAAAATTATTGGAATTGTGTTTTTTTTGTGCTTAATTTGTTTTGTGCTTATTATACATACATGTAATGAGAATATATGTAGTGAGAGAGTTGTCAATAGCTATTAGCAAATGCCATCGCTACTCTAATACGCAAGCAAACACCTTCAATTATAATATCTCATAAAAGAGGAGGCATTTTATATAACATTTTCTGCGATAAATAACACACGCAGTGTGTTAAATTCTTGCATACGATTGGCAGCGAACAGAGAACGAGCGGTGGCAGTGACCCATGACCCGGATCGCGGAAAGTGGGTGCCAGAGGGGCGTGTATGCACCCGGCGAGGCCGAGGGTTGGGATTGGGGTTAGGGTAGGACATCGTCGAGGATCGATTTTCTCTCTCGGTGGGCTTCCTCCGCCCTCAGCCACCCTCAACGGGCAAGAAGGGAGGCTGGATCGCGTGAAGGGAGAGGGTCTCCCGGCACACACATACACACAGAGAGAGGGGGGGAGGGACGCGAGTGAATGAGAGAGCGGGGTATATGAGAAAGGTAAAGAGAGCTGGACGCGCGTGTCTGCGTGCATGCGCTCGTGTACATGATGAACGTGCACGAGAGAAAGAGAATGTTGGCTCTCTGAAAGGGTGATAGAGGATGGAGAAAGGAAGGATGAGGGCGAACGCGAATACAAACACAGGACGCGAAATAACGAGAGAGAGAGAGAGAGAGAGAGAGAGAGAGAGAGAGAGAGAGAGAGAGAGAGAG